GTAGTGGTGGTTTCTGAAAAAAATTGTTTATACTACCAATTTTTTAAAGCCAGATTTAGTTCAGATATTAGTATATACAATTAACTAAAGAAAGTTAACCGCTGCACTTGTGAATAACCTTTTCCCTGAACCGGTTTCTCGAATGATATAATCGCTTTTGTATGGTAAAAATGTATTATTTAGTGTGCGTAGAATATGGATATCTCCTTCAGCGAAACCATTATTCTTTAAACTTCACACTTCCACTCTTCCAGTGAAAACGTGGCAAAATGAAAAATCAATATATGTGCCCTGGACAGTGAGCCGTAGATCCTGCAACCAACCTGAGACGATAGAGCATTGTTTCATTCATTGTCACGATGCATCTATTTTAGGGACATTCTAAAAATAAACAATTGGAAAAGAACTTTCAATCACAGTTCATGGTATTAGGTTCCTCACTTTCAAAAAGAGCCTGACTGATAATGCTTCATATAACCAGTTTATGTTGTTAGGACTGTACTCACTATGTAAAAATCGCATGATTGATAGACACACCGAGCCACCATGATCGACAAGACCTGTTTTCCGAGAACCACCTGCTAAAGTGCGCAGTGTTCTTGAAACTTTCGACTCCGTTCCGGAGTGACTTCCCCTTCTGGGCACTTGTGTGTGGTTGCCTGACTTCCGATGAAGTATGTTGCGCGTAGTTGAGCATTAGGTGTGATGATTTTATGCAATAAACAAAAAATGACGGGGCTCTGTGGTAGAATACGGAACTGGCATGCGGGGTAAGTGGTTTTTAATGCCGCTGTGTGCTTGGTGGTTTTCTTATTTCGTAGGACAGGGGTTACAGATGCCGGCTGTGGTGGTGGCCGTGGCGGACAGCTACGGCGCCACACGAGAACCTTGTTGTGATCTCCTAGAAGATTTCGGTGCCAAAATACCTGAGCTAGTAGAAATCAAAAGCAAGCAATTATTCCCTTTATTCTCAGATTCAAGGGGTTAGCTTTCATTGTAGAAGAATCATATCCTATGGATTCTGTACGTAACCAGATCCCAAGAAGAATTTTACGGGCTAAGCTTCTTGAGGCGTGGGTCTGTACACCTTCCGATGTATGTAGTAGTAGGTGGCACGTAGCCACTCTAGAGTGGACATGAACCACAGCGGATGCGAGATGGGTGATGGTGGTACTCAGAGTGTTCACTAGATGGACGCATGGACGGACGTTTAGATGGATGAACAGACAGACTAGTAGACGAACAGACGGATGGATGAACGCGCGGATGTACGAATGGATGGACGCACGAACGGATGGACAGACAGATGAACGAACTGACGGATGCACGCATCGACAGGTGGACGGATGCATAAATGGCTGTGCGGACGAACGGAAGCAAGAACGAACGGATGGACCGAAGCACGGAAGGGCTCACGGACGCCTCGACCCAATCATCATCCTTCACTCCAACGATATATTGTGATTTTTTGCCAGTCACCTTGGGACTCCGTTTAACAGCATCACTCACACAGGTGATAGACACAAGCAGCGGCCAAATCCTACTGGTAATCATGCGAAAGAGGCCAGGCATGCGTGAACTTCATATCTGCCTACACTACGTTGAGTGCCATAAACTCTGTTTCTCGTTAGCACACATAGTCTGGCAAATTTTCAATACAACGTGTCACTTCTGATAAACAAGCTGAGGAGGAGAGGCCCTCAAAAGCAGAGATCTCCAGTAACAACTGTACAAAGGGTGCATGAATGTGAGGAAGACTATGGTCTTGGGCACGCCATGTAGGTGCGACCCGCAAGAGCGACTCCACACTTTATTAGGACCCGAATAACTGGCTCACTGAACGTTGTTTACAAAGAGAGTGATAACTCACGTATCTGTAAAACGCCCCATCCGGTCACCGTCGCGGCACCAGTTTTTGCAAAGAGAGAGGGTTTCCGAGCCGTTCCCCTTGAAATACTGTTGGCGGTGACGTAGATCGGTTACACATTTCGTAGCCGGCACGAGAATGGAGCCCCACACCTCATCATTCCACTGCCAGTTCCCCCTTGGCGCATGCTGTCATGAACAGATGAATTGGAGAGAGACAGTGTCAAAAACGCAGCAAGAATGGCTAGGTCACTGAAAGACGACTGCAGTCCTTCCAATCGTAGTGATCAATACCGTTCAGCTTCTAACTTTACAATACCGGTACTATTGCATTTAGAATGCACTGTCAATCATATTTCTTCTTGTTTACAATCACAATATACTGACCAAATCTAACAAATCCTATTTACTGAAGCTTGTTGATTTCATTTTTTACGTTTACGGAATATGAGGGTGGTCAGTCAACATTTACAAAACCGTGTTGCTGTCGACGTTGTGACCGTCATAGTTCACTTGTACATAATTTCGTCGCGTCTGATGTACGTTTTTCAACTTGATAGGGTTAGAGTGTTAGAGAGCTCGTGTCACAGAAATTCTGCCGTCGGCGTCGGTACCGTTGGTTGTGAGCGAAAAAGCCTCCGTGAGCAAAAAAAATTTAGAAAAAAGCAAATGAAATAAAGAATAAAATTTTCGGTTCCATTGAAGGTTGAACCCGGGCTGTTCGCGTGGCAAGCAGGTGTCCTACCACGAAGCCACAAAGTCTCTTTTATCTTTATTTACCAAGCCACACTCTTACTTGCTGCTGCTTCGGAAAAAAAGCTACATAAATGCCATGTTCAGAAGGAGTCTCCTTAACGCATTTTGTTCGACAGCTGTCACGTTGAAAACGAGCCCATTTGGCAACTTCTTGTTGCAATTGGGAGGCCATCGAACTACGCAAAAAAAAGGACGAGATAGGGCAGCTATCGGCGTTAAAACACACAGGAACTTTCAAACAGTTCCAAAAATGGACAACTATGTCCTTCTAGTCGAAAACATATCATGCCTTCTTAAAGGCGTTGACCAAGCAAACAGCAAACGCTACACAATGTGCTGCCTTCTGTGAGGCATTGAGAGACTCTTTATGGCCTCTGAGATGGCAAGCGCGTGGCGTGTGCCTTGGAGGCCATGCGACTCTTGCTTTAGATCAATACATGTATGTACAGCACGCGAACAGCCGGGTTTTGCTGTGCGGGGTGAAATGTTGGGGCAGTATCAGGTTCTGACGTGGTCAGCCTGACAACACGCCGTGCGTGCTCTGAATACACCACTTCAGAGCCGAAAACTGCCCCAAGGTTTGGACCCGTAAAGAAAAAAGCGGCTGCTCGAGTGCTCTACACAGACATGGCCGTGGCTGCACTTAGCGGTTGAAGGGCACACTAGGGGCCGCATTTCACTACCATGTTCGACCCTTAAAGGTGAATCTTAAGCGTCCCCCGTTTTTTTTTTGTCGTGACGGTGACGCGAAGGGTGGTTTTACGACTGTTTGTATGAGCACTGAGTCAGTCGCCAGTTGAAGCCTGCAGCGACTCAGTTGCACCCACCACATTGGAGCATCAATTCAAGATCACGTATTGTACGGACGTGAACATGCTTATGGTGAACTAAGAGGCGCGTGCGCCATCAGTGACACCAACCCACACCAACAAAAACAACGGTAAACGCACCATGGTGCGCACAAGAAGCGTCGCAGGCAAAAAATCTCGACAACAAAAAAGCGCACGCAAGCACGCACGCACGCAAGCACGCACGCACGCACACACACACACACACACACACACGCACACACGCACGCACGCACGCACGCACACTCACACACACACACACACACACACACACAGAGAGAGAGAGAGAGAGAAAGAAGTGGCGTTGTGCTAGGAACTAATTGTTTATTGGAAATGCACCACACGTACATATGCCACCAATACCTCCTAAATAATTACACAGAAAAAACCATGCACCTCTTCAAAGTGAAATATCACTAGTGGCCTAAGCCGTGGGTAGCGTATCGGTAAGTAATCATAGGTACCTGAGCGTTGGCTCATGTATTGTACACTGAGTGGCAAAGTGTACAAAGAAGTGTAAATTTATTTCACCTTCCATTCGTTTTAGACAGTTTAAAGGCGATATTAAAAAAATTGGGAAGGGAAGAATAATATTGCAATAATCACCACCTCATCGGTGGCAAGATATTGTGACATATAAACTATTTGTAGGGACATATAGTGCTCGATGCGTGTCCGCGTTACACGTTTCCTCGAGAAGCCTGAACCTACAAGCACATTTTCATACGGTAGGACAAATGAACATTCTTCTTGGTAGGACAGTTTGATTAATGTTGTAGCTGGCGAGCAAGGCGACGCTTGACTCAGTTGGCGACGAAGGTTTAATGTCATAAGCAAGCGGCTCGCATGCAAATATAAGTACAGGCACATGACGTAGCCTGTGACGTCAGTACGGCGCGTCAAACTTTGGCTACTACATCCCTTCCCCCTTTATTAAGCAGCATAGCCAAAACGTTCGGGAGGCTTTCGAATTCTCGTGCTTCGTTGCAATTCAGGTGGCGCGACGTTTTCTTGGGAGCTGGCGTCAGGCGCCTGCTGTGATGGCAGTTCCATCACGCTGGCTTGGTCAGGTGGTGGAAGTCGTTGCTCTGGTGCAGGACCATCCGGCGGCGATGCGGTGTCGCTGTCGCTTTGTGACGGAGTGGAACTCGGCTGTGCCATGCGGGTTTGCTCAGGAATCCACACGTTTCTGGGAAGAGGAGCAAGGCATGTGTTAGGAACAATATCGTCCACATGCAGAAAGCGCTCGTGGTCTACGATTCAGACTATGTATGTGCCTCTGCTAACTCGTCGCACAACTGTTTCTTCCAACCAACGTGGATCACTCGGTCGGTTTCCTCGCACACGAACGTTGTCGCCAACCTCGAACTCCCTCCATGAAGTATGGGTTTCCTGACCCTGTCTTCGAGCTATATTTGCTTCGGCACGTTTCGCTAGCTCCGGATGCAAGATGCTCAGCCTCGTGCGTGGCCTCCATGAGAGAAACAGTTCGGCTGGCGTCTTACTGGTCGTCGAACACTGTGTGTTTCATTAGGTGAACAGGAACTGTTCTACCCGATGTTGCATCGTCCGAGTCACTCCCGTGTTCTGCTCGTCCCGTAGCTGTTTGATGAAGCTTCGCTTGACGGTCTCGACAAGCCTCTCCGCTGTGTCATTTGAAGCTGGGTGGTAAGGTGGGGTCTTGGTGTGCTGCACTGCATTGGTGTTGAGAAAATTTGTGACTTCAGCAGACACAAATTGCGGCCCATTGTCAGTCACAATTCTCTCGGGACGCCCAAATGCAGCAAAGACAGTGCGGAGTTTTTCAACTGTCACCTGTGCTGTAGTGGACTTCATGTGCAGAACATCCACCCACTTGGAGTGCGCAGCGACAAGCACTAAAAACCAGTCGTTCTTGTAGTAGGCAAAATCCAGGTGAACTCTCTGCCACCTGCGGGTTGGCCATCCCCACGATAACATCGGCACGTGGGGCGCAGAGTTCTGCGTTAGTTGGCAAGTTGAACAACCTCTTACAGTTTCTTCCATGCGGTCGCACAACTTTGGCCACCACACATGACTTCTTAACAGCATTTTTATGCGAGTGATGCCTGGATGCCCTTCATGCAAAAGCGATAAGACTTCAGATTGTACCGCTTCAGGTATAACAACCCGTGTTCCCCATGTTATGCAACCACAGTCGACCGACAGTTCGTCTTTCCGCGAGAAGAATGGGGCTACGTTGTCTTCTGACACGTACGATGGCCATCCATTCAAAACATACATTAGCACCTTAGACAAAACTGGGTCTTTTTGGGTTTCGTCAGTGATCCTTTTCGCAGATAATGGTACGGCTTCTACTGCTGAAAAGAAGTGAACGTAGTCGCTTTCGTCGGTGTCGTTCGGAAGCGGTAATCGCGATAACGCGTCCGCGTTTGCTACTTGGGCTCCCTTTCTGTACACCCATTTGTAGCGATATGCAGCTAGCACTAGCATCCAGCGCTGCATGCGTGCTGCTGCCATTTGCTGAATTGGCTTTGTTTGCCCCAGCAGTCCTTCCAGGGGAAGGTGATCGGAATAAATGGTGAATTCACGGCCGTAAAAATACTTGTGAAACCGTTTGATTCCGAAAATCACAGCCAATGCTTCCTTTTCTATGTGTGCGTAGCCACTTTCGGCCTTGCTCAAGGTGCGTGACGCATAAGCTATCGGCCTTTCTTCCCCGTTCACGACATGAAACAACACTGCGCCAACCCCGTAAGGAGAGGCGTCGCAGACTAATCCAAGAGGCTTCTTTGGGTCATAGAATGTTAGCACGCTCGCTTGCGTAAGGAGGCTCTCACTCTCCGCGAAGGCTTTTTCTTCTTTTGCGGACCAGACCCACTTCTTATCCTTCTGAAGCAGTGCATACAAAGGCTTTAGCCTCGAAGACATGTTTGGCATGAACTTGGAGTAAAAAGTTATCATGCCGAGGTACGCTTTAAGCTCACTGATGTTCTTAGGTGTGGGTGCTTCCCTTATGGCATTCAACCTTCTCGACGCACGGGTGCACACCATTTTTGTCAATGATATGCCCAAGATATTTGACAGAATTCAAAAAAACTTGCATTTTTTCTTTCTCACTTTTACGCCATGGTCCCTCGAAACCTGCAGGACTGCTTCCACCTGGGCCAGGCATTCGGTATGCGATGCTCCCGTGATGAGGACGTCGTCGAGGTAGCGTACCACTCCCGGTAGTCCTTTCAACAGCTCGTTCATGATTGCCTGGAAAACCTCAGGTGCACTTGAGATTCCGTACGGCATTCGAACATACTGGAACAACCCCATGTGAGAGTTTATAGTCAGCAAGGGTCGCGAGTCAGGGTGCACCTTGATTTGCTGATATGCCGTCGAAAGGTCCAGAAAGGTGAAAACCTTGCCCACAGCCAGTGCAGTGAACAAATCCTTCACCGCGGGCAGTGGGTAATGGCCGGTCTTCACACATGGATTCACCGTCAATTTATAGTCTCCACACAATCGTACTGTGCCGTCTGGCTTGTGAACAGCTACCAGCGGCGTGGCCCAGTCGCTGCGGGTTACGGGCACCAGTACGCCCTCTTTTTGCAAGTTGCCTAGCTCATGCTCGTCAGGTTCACGAATGGCATACGGCACAGACCACGCCTTGCAAAAGACTGGCATGCTTCCTTCCTTAAGCACCAGTTTTGCTTGGTAAGCATTTATCAACCCTAACCCAGGTGAAAAAACGCTGGCATACCTTGACAGGATGCTGTCGACAGACGGTTGTGCGTGCACCTCGTGAATGCTGTTTAGGTCCATTCCGAGGTTCGCAATCTAGTCGCGGCTTAGGAGTGCTGGCTTCTCTATTGGTACCACGATGATTGGCAGGACTTTCCGCTGTCCCTTATAATCGACCAAGACCTCCGCTTGGCCTTTCACTTGTAGCGTCGCTCCGCCGTAAGTCTTGAGCTTCATCTCGCACTTCGCAAGCTGCGGCGGCTACTTTAGCTGCCGGTAAACGCATTCCGGAATGAGTGATACGGCTGCGCCCGTATCTACTTGCATCTTCATAAGCTGGCCGGCTATCTGCACTCAACTTCTTATGGTTGTTCCGTGCCCACCAGATACACACCGTGCCGCAGCAGCTCTGTGCCTCCGCTCGCTTCGTCACTCACGTTGTGGGTGGTGCCAGGCGCCGGTTGCTTGCATCTGCACATGCGCGCCAAATGTCCCACGCGCTTGCAAAGATGGCATTAGAATTTACGATAACGGCAGCAACGGGCGTCATGCTCTTGACCGCATTGATAGCAGCTTTGCATTGAACTGTTCTTCGGCTTGCTGGCGAACTCCGGTTGCTTCCCCGTCTTCTTTAGAGCGTGAATGTCGGCATCCGTATTCGCAGTTGGTCGGAATCCCCTCGACTCTCGCTCCGCTAGCTCAACGCCCTTAGCAAAAACGCAGGCCGATTCAAACGTCAGTTCCTTCCTCTTCAGTAAACCCGTTTGAATGGTGGATTTCCGTAACCCAGCGACGAACCGGTCCCGTAAAGCGTCGTCGAGAAACGTACCGTAGTTGCACTTGGCTGCCATGTGCTTCAGCGTGACTGCCAATGCCGCGACGGACTCCCCTTCTCCTTGGTACCTCCTGTTGAATTTGAAACGCTCCGCAATGACTTGACTTGAAGGCTTGTAGTGGCCATTCAGCACTTTCACCGTCCTCGAACGTCCTCTCTTCAGGTTTTGCAGGTAGAAGAAGGTCCTTGAGCGTCTTGTACGCTTTCTTTTCTGTGGCAGAGATGAAGGCTTACTTTTTAAGTTCTTCGTCTTGTACGCCGGCTACTTTGCAATAGTGCCCAAATAGTTCTACATACGATGCAAAATCTTCGTCCCCTTCTTCTATGAAGGCGTCAAATTCCCACATCTTCGCCATACCTTGCCTTTCGCCTTCCAGCTGTCGTTTCTCACAGGATCCACCCCCGTCGTTCGGTGCAGCCTATCCCATCCTCATCGCCATCTGTTGTAGCCGGTGAGCAAGGCGACGCTGGACTCAGTTGGTGGCGAAGGTTTAATGTCATAAGTAAGCGGCTCGCATGCCAATATAAGTACAGGCACATGACGTAGCCTGTGACTTCAGTACGGCGCGTCATACATTGGCTACTACAATTAATATGCGGCGTTTAACGTCCGGAAATTCCATACGAATATGTGAGATGCTGTAGTGGAGGGCTCCGGAGATTTCGACAACCTGGGCATCTTTACCGTGCCCCACACTCTGAGCACGCAGGCCTACAGCACTTCCGCCTTCATTAAAAATGCAGCCGCGGCAGCAGCCGGGATTTGATCCCGCGACCTGCGGGTCACCAGCCGAGTACTTTAGCCACTAGACCTCTGCGACATGGATTGGAAGGTTAGTTTCATTGGGAACAACGACCCCTCACCTTATGAACAACTTTCGTGTATGCGTAGAACTGAACTGTAAAAGCACTTTTGTTGTGTCTCACATATGTGTGCACTATAGCAACACTGGTATACGATGACCATATCCTAATATAAGGCTAGGTTCTAAGAAAGTTTACCACGAAATGTTGCCAATGAAACACCAGTACAATTGCTAAGGAATGGGGACTGACTTCAGAGTTAGAAATTATGACTTGATTTCCCTCGTATACGGACAATAAGCTAAGAAGACGCATGAAATTTCCCAACGGCCAGCTCCTACTTATTGCAGCCGACAAAAAAAATACCACCAAACAGACACGAAAATTGAGGCACGCAAAGTTTAGCAACAGCTCCTTTATTGAACTGCAGTCATCACTTCGCTAAGCTCATGCAAAACGCACGCGTTATGTGTTAAACGTACAGATAACAGCCTAATGTAATATAGGCAACGAAAAACATTGGTGCTAGGCGTTCTCACGTTGGGAATCGGTGGTTTTATTGCGCAAAACCTCAATTTCGAACTCCATTTTTCGTCCACGAAGGCAATCGTTCTTCTGCAGGTGATCAACTTCTATCGAGAAGGTACGGCGAAAGTGTAGCAGCCAGTCATCGTCGCGCTTACAATGGCAAGGCTCTTGAAAAGAAGACAGGTGAAGGCTCTTGCACGACTCTCTGTTGAACACCTTTACCCTAAGTGAGGGCATAAAGACCCGGGAGCCAGCCAGCTTTCCGTGAAATTCCACCCGAACGAAGAGGAACAGGTAGTTCCTGGAGATGTCGACTGTAAAGTACGCGTCTTTCGTGTGTAGCACGGTGAGCTGAGCAAAAATTATGGAGTTCTCCATCACGGACATATTCACGTCGCAGTTCTTCAAGGTTAGGTTGTACTTCACGGCTACATCAACTTCCGTCCAAGAATTCATCATCGACAGATGCGTTGTCAATTTTAAATGACACTTCACGTCTTGTGGTCCGCTGTTTGTGAAAACGTGTTGTGGATAATCTTGTGAAGAAGTCTGCCGCATGGCCTTCAGAACATCTGAAGGCAGCTGCGCGAAGAAGGACGGCTGGCGGCAGGTCTTCGACTTCTCCAGGTGAAGCATTCGCAGCGGCGTCGTGCTGGCCGGCTCCACTGGGTCATTTTCATAGTACGGCTGGTCCGCCACGCTTGTTAAGATCGCTGCCGCCGCGTTAGCTCGCTCGGCCTTGGAGGATACATTCAACTCGCGAGTGAACTCGGCTGACTGGGATTTGTGTCGTCTGAATTGCTGGGTGGGCGCGTTCAATTTGCTCTGCATTGGTGGCATCAGCCGGTCATGGTGTGGGTTCGTCAGCAGTGCCGTCATTTGTTCGACAGAGGTTTTCACGTATTGAGCTACTACCGCCGTGGACTCTGAGGTATTATAGGTAGTGTCCTTCGAAAAGAGACCAGCAGTACATCCAGATGCGTAATGCGAGGTGAGCACGCTGTGGAAGACTTCCTCGCCGCACCGGAAACACTCGACGATGTGAAACGCGCATTTGTCCTCGTAGTGTGTCAGTATTTCTTCCATAGCTCCCACAAACTCGCATCCATGCACCTCGTTCCAGCAGTGGACCTTGACATGTAGAGGAAAACAGACTTATTTGCATCCAGCTAGTACTCTTTATCACATTTTCACTATAAAAGAGTTGGAATCATTAGATGGTCTCGTGTGATTTTTAGACAGACAATGAATACGAAAGACAAGTAATTCAAAGAAAGCACAAGATAATTTATTAGCGGAGATGAATGAGGTGGCAGTTATTAAGGGGCGTTATTCTAGTACGTATACTTCTCTACGTTACCATGGTGCTGGCCACAGGTTTTGAGTTTACTGTGTTACCGGAACGCGCACATTTCAAATGTAAGGCTTGCCGTATATAAACGTGCACGTGCGTACAATTGACCAAATATTTATGAGCCACGTGAGCGCATAGCAAAAGCTCTTTGCGATATTTCCGCAATATCAACGAATGACGACAGCCCCACAGCACTCGAGACGCATCGCTCCTTTAATCTACGGCTCGCCCGTGTTGCGACATAGTGCAAAAATTGTTTTCATGCTTCACATTTCAACATATCGTCTTTTTTTTGCATTTGATTCTTTTCGATTCTGCACCGAGAGCAGTTTTCGCGTCTTCTGTTATCAGTCGTAATCCTTATCACAAAGTGTTACCTTACCAATGGAACGCCATTCGAGGCACGCCACGATAGCGTTAATCATGCTATGAAAATGAAAAGGGCACGTTTAAGCTGTACCCAACCGATTCGTGTGAATACTGCTAATAATGCGCTACGGGGCAGTTGAAAATTGAAAGGCCACTGAATATTGCGACACTTTGTGCAACCCAAGTCATGAAGTTTGCGCATAATATTTACCGGGAAAAATAAAAAAAAGGTAAATGTTGTAATAAGGCTGCTGCGAGGCATTGAAATCAAAAGTAGAATGCACAATGTTTCTGCAATAACAATTTTGTGCTTTACTGCTTAATTCTGGCCACCTATACGGTGCCATGCGTCCAGCCTGTAGGGTGCCTTAGGGCTTACAATATACCTTCGGTAATCTAGCTAAAACAATGTGATCGTCATTCACAATTGCACTATGGCTCATTTCTACTCGACGGCTGTGGTTCCCGCAATACTGGGAGTAGCCGTGAATTAGGGTGACTTCCGAGATAGTTCGCAATCGTAAAGCATATCATATACGGTGGGTACCAAAGTGGCTGTAGTGTGTACGCGCCACAAAAGTCCGCGCTTGCGCAGATTCTTTCGGGTATACAGTAAAAAGGTAACGTTAAGATGTATACATCCAAGCTAAAAGGCCCTAATCTTCAAGCAATACTTTCCACTCCTTAGCAGGTACACGCCTCATAAACAGTTATGAGAATTAGCTCTGGGTAATGGCTACACGAGACGCTGCAGCTAACCTCTGTGCATTTTTAGTACACATAGCTAAAACGCAGAAAAAATACGTAGTAGCTTACGACAGTGGCACAAAGCTGTACTAACAATGGAGCTAGCGACCAATCTGGCTCATGTCGGCTTCTATAAGGCCGAATAAACTGTTGCGAAGTTTGGCTAAGCATTGCAACTCATAATCATGGGGACAGAACAATAATGCTTGAAGTGTCGTCGTTGCTACGTAAAGGGAAGAAAGAGAAACGAGAAAAAAAGGAAGGCAGACAGGTTATTTGTTAAGCTCCAAGTTAAAGCAACCATAGGCACCATCGTTCAAACTATCAATATTTAAACTGGCAGTCAAAGTTAGAAAGGCCTGATAGAAAGGCCACGCTAATAAATAGCACTATTTCCTGTAACAAGAACCTAATACCACTTCTACTTTTTATTCCTAATTTTTATTACCTATAAAGAGGAAAAGGGCGTCGAGAGAGTGCCCATGAGCAATGCGCTAGAGGTTGCAAATCATGACAGTTTTTTTGTTCACTCTGCACAGCATAACTTCCATATTAAGCAGCTTCCCTCTTAAAAAAGCTGCTGCGTCAACTTGCAGAATAGAACACCCTGGATGTACTACGCTCTTCGGTTCTCACCTTCAAGGCCTTCGCTTTGTTGTCCGGAAAGTCGTGGCCACTGCATTCCGCACCTACGAATGGTTCTCCATCCAGGGGGCAAAGGCCATCAGCGCCATTTTGAAAACTGACTGCGTGGCACGCTTGGCAGAGGACGTGCGAGCATGGCAACACAAGTATCCGCTTCGGAATCATGCGGCAGAGGTCACACACGCGCAAGCTCGGCAACTCGTCGAAAAGTCTCGTAGGCTTCCAGTTCATGCCGGCAATGACATGACCGCGGAAACGGTACACACGTCTGCGTTCCGCCATAAGGAGCAGTGCGTGCTTTCAGCCACGAATACTAAGAGCACTGCTCCAGCGCGAATACTTCGTAGCTAAGTTTATAGGCGAGCTTATCGCTTCTGTAACTTTCTTTGTGTGCTTCAGCTGACGTAGCTGAAAGAACAGATTTGGCTACGATTATGCTCACGCTATCTCGTTCACCCCTGTGGCTGTCTCACGGCTGCAGAGGTGAACACTACGTAAACGAACTACCCGCTTATTCGGTATCACTAAAGCACAAAAGTGCTGTGACCTTTTCCACGTAAAATGAAATGGTTCTAAGGTATCATAAAATGAAGGTATAGTTGATAAAAAATTTAAATAATCGCTGATCAAAGATCTGCATAAAAAAGGGCTGACAGGGTCCGTTCCAAACTCATGTGAGACGGCCAGAAGGGCACAGCAATGTTTTATTATTTTGCATCTCTGTCATCCTACTTTTCTTCTACCATGCGAAAGGTTGCTGTAGGGCTTGGATTGATATGTGTGGTTTAAAGTCCCGAAACCACCATACTGTATACGAGCGCATGATATCGGAAGTACGCTGTTATATATCACCCTATAATAATATGTCATAGTGTGAAACGTACGTGTGTTATGCACAGTAGATATCCGTAATACTCCGAATACGTCTGTTGCTGTTTTTACAATGCCGTGATTGCTGGTGGCATGGTAATGTGAATAATTAATCACAGGCATTTTTACGTATGTATACTACATCATACAAAGATAATAGTCAATTTAATGTTGTTTACTGAATCCAGCAGAACGTTATTCCATACAGCAAACAAACGCACGAAGAATGTTTTTTTCCTTTTCTCAAAGAAGAAATCGGGTCACTAGGCAACACAGATTGTGATTCGACAATGCTCTAGAGAGTACATAATTTTTTAAAAACTGAGAAAAAGCTAGCAACATTGTTTAAGGGCATCTACTCCAAGGCTGGAATGTCAAGTCATTCGCAAAACCTGAATTTCATGTTCTCCAACATGAATTCCAACATTAAACGTCATTCGCAATTGCAAGTTTCCTACACACTAAGAAAAAAAAGAATCTGAAGAGACGGTTTATGACACGCTATTTCTTTTGGGTACTCACTTGACGCCTTTTAGAACGCAGATGCAGAAAAAAGAGAGTTGTTATTCACGAGAAGTCATAGAAATTTCGCAAAGCGAATTTCGGTTGCCTTCTGTGACGAAGGATCCACCAAAGAGAGAAAGGGACATTTGCCAAGAGCACGCACTCGGCCGCAAGAGGATCGAGCTTTCCCCGTAACCTCCTCACCCAAAACAGTTTTCCAAATTTTCGCGTGAAATAATAGGGACGAAAATTCCGCAGAACACAAACGAGATTTGGTGGCAAAAGCAGTGCAAGAGTAAACAAGGATAATAAAGATGCGCAAGATTGTTGTACAAGCTCGTTCTTCGCTTTGTTTCGTTCCTTCATGTGAATAGATATTATCCTCCACGATGAATTGAAAATTCGTGAAAGACCATCCCGTCATCAAGCGAGACCAGCGATGCGATGACATAGACAAAGAAGATATCGCACCTAGCGGCGTAGGACAGTTCTCATGCGTGTTCCGATGGCATGCCTTTTTATATACACGCTACGATAGTTTGTGGTAATGAGCAATAGTTTGCACGACACTGTTGCTCTTCAGCGCGACAATACAATGTCGTCTGCTGCAGATGATGACTACGAAGTGAGAGTGCTCACTTATTTAGATCCCTTAAAGTACAGCGTATTAAATGCGTATAGTTATATTTAATGAATGTTGGTTGGTTACGACTGCGCCAAAGCTAGGAATTAGGTGCTTTGATGTAAGCTTACAAAGGTTCCTGACGAAGTTTCTGTCCTCTGTACGCACACTTCTTTTCGCACTCGCGTTATCAGATCACAATAGCTTGGTCTAAAGTAGTAGACAAGCTTGTTTTAAACCCAACCAGTGTTTGAAGCTGTCAAGTGAAAAAGCGCGTCGCCCAGCTTACGCTTGGCCATGTCATGAGGTGCTTGATATCCCGAGACAAAGAGAAATTTTTACAATACGATGGTCGTAAAAGGAAATTGCCTTTGTTTCCAATTCAATGCGGTATATTGTTTTGTCGTTTCCAATGCGACGAATCTGAATTCTGAGGCAATACAAAGTATTAGGCGTTGTGTTTTAAGAAGACAACAATTGCACCCATCACAATCAAGTAGTTGAAACATAGTTGTCATCTGCCGCTGGTGTGCTGTCGACATTTTTTTCTGGAGCGGGTAAAATTATAAATATATTGCACCTTGTTTGAATGCAGTATTGATTATTCTGTGTAGTTTAACGTCCCGAAACCACCATATATTATGTGAGACGCTGTATTGGAGGACCCAAAAATTTCGCCCACCCGTGGTTCTTCAACGAGTACGCAAACTTGGGCACACAGGCCAAAAGCAGTTTCGCCTCCATCGAAAATGCAGCGACCGCAGCCGCGATTTGATCCGCGATCTGTGGGTCAGCGGCCCAGTACTTTAGCCACTAGACCACCACGGCGCGGCTGAATCACACATAGTCACGACGTGAAGACAGAGTTCGCATTGAACAGGCGGAGAAAGCATCAGCAGGTCGGTCGTTTTTTTTTTCCGCGCCAGAGCCTTCGCCTTCTATCTCATTATTGATTTTTGCATAAAAGCGTGGAGATGCGTGAGTGCACTGTCACCTTCGTCTTTCTCACAGCACGCACGTGGCATTTGCCTTTCTCCTTCATTAGCATCGTTCCGTTGCGCTGCCAAGCCACTCTACTTATAAATATGCACCTACACGCATTGGAGCCCACAAGATAATCGAGAGTTTGTTGGATAAGCAGGCTTTCATCCGGACGACATGCATGATTTCTGGTGGATGTTTTCAACGACTGAAACTGCAATTACCATCGCGGATAACTTCGTAGTCGACGTTGTTCAAGCGTCGGGTGACTCGATATGGGCGGAAGTATCGTCTTAATAGCTCTGTGTAAGTCCACATCAACGTGTAGGGATCCAGACGTATACCTTGTCGCCTGCTTTGTAGGTGACTAATTTGTTTTGTTGGTCGTACTGTTTCGCATCTTTTTGTAGCTGGTGACAAATGCGCACGTGGGCTAGCAGTTGGGCTTGTTTGGCGAGCTTACCAAATTTTTCAACTTCGGCTTGAGTGTTGCCACACTCGTGCGGAAGCATGGCGTCCAATATTCTCGGCCGAGGTTTAAATTGAATAGCGTCATTGCAGTAGTTTGCTGCCGCGCGGTATTATAGCCGAAGTTCACAGAATGCGATATTTCAACCCAGTTCTTATGTTCTGTGTCGACATACATGTGCAGCATGTCTGCGATGGTTTTTATAAAGCGCTGAGTTAGTCTGTTGGTTTTAGGATTGTACGTCGTTGTTCTCAGGTGAGCTGTACCACTAAGCCTGAGAACTGACTCCAAAAGTTCTCCCATGAACGCAGTTCCTCTATGCGTGATTAGAACTGTTAGAGCATTGTTGCGATAGACGACGTTTTCTATGCAGAAATGAGCCGCTTCTCCTGCTGTGCGCCTCGGCATGGCCTTAGTCTCTGCGTAGCGAGGCATGTGATCAGTGGCACAATTAATTCGTCTGTTACCTGTGGTAGAAGCCGGAAATGGGCCCAGAAAATCTATACAAATTTGCACGTATGGCTTTGTTGGTTTTTGAAGGAATTGTAATATGCTTGCCGGCTTGCCGTGCAGCGCTTTTAGTCTTTGGCAGTCAGCACATTTTTGGACGTGATGTTCTACACAGGCAGGTAGCTTCGGCCAGTAGTAATTATTTGTTTTGCAGTAGGGACAATGTTCGAGCGTAGCCAAGGTTACTGGGGTTCGCTTATTCAAGACAGGCTCCCAGAATTTTTTTTCGCTGTGATGCAGGGACGATGAGCAAGTAATAGCCGCCGGTGGAAGAAACGTTCTTCTTGTCTAGAATATCGTCCCTAAACAAAAACAGCAGTCTTCTGGTGAAAATTGGCCGCACGTCTTCTTCGCGGCAAGTCGATAGGTGGAAGCAGGTAAGGTTAACTGTGCTGCTCTTGTGAAATAGTGGCCGCGTTGATGACTTTCAAGAATGCGGCAGCCATAGCTCATCAGTAATAGCGGCAGGCTCGACGGGTGACAACGAGAGACAGTCAGCGTCAGTATGCTTCTTCTCTGATTTATAAATTACACCCATATCAAAATCTTGAAGCCTAATGCTTCAGCGCAGCAAAGTGCCAGATTTGTCTTTCAAGTCAGTGAACCAGCAAAGTGAATGGTGATCACTGACGACCTTGGATGAGCGGCCGTACAAACATTATCGAAATTTGAGAACCACCTAGACCCCGGCGAGGAACTCCTTTTCGGTAGTCGAGTAGTTCTTCATGCAAGAGAGAGCTCTGCTAGTATATGGTATCACTTTTTCGGAGTAATCTTGCCACTCTATCAGTATGGCGCTCATGCCTAGAGCGCTGACGTCGATGTGAACTGCTGTTGGCGCTTCCTGGTCAGTGTGCACAAGAACTGGAGCTGCTTGGATGTGGTGGCTCCGTTTGTTGAAGGCAGTTTGTTTCTCGCCCCGAAGAAAGAGACATCCTCTCGTGTAAGCTGTGTCAAAGCTGCCGCAATAGACTAAACGTGGGCGATGAATTCTCGATAATAGGTGCAGAGTCCTGAGAAGCGCCTAACTGCTTTTCTGTCTTGCGGTGCAAAAAACTTTGCAACAGCGTCAATTTTGCCCGGGTCAGGTCGAACACCTTCGTGGCTGACGACGAGGCCTAAGAATCAAAGTTAATTGAAACTAAAATGGCGCTTCTCTGTTCTTAAAGTCAGACCAGCCGAACGTAGAGTTTGCAGAACTGTGAAGGAGCGACTTAGGTGTTTCTCGAATGTAGGTCAGAAGGCAATAACGTCTTCTAGATAGACCACAAATGTCCGCCTCTTCAGACATAATGGCAGATTAATCACCAAACGTTGAAAAAAAGGATGGTGCCGAGCGTAACCTGAATGGGTGCAC